GTTACTTGAGCTCAATTGAGAATTTTGTGTAAGTTATGAGGGCAAAGAATCCATTGATTTCCTATTACTTGCTTTTAGATTAATTCATTAGTTAATATTTATTTTACCTAACTTCTCAAGTTCAAGAATCATGCTAGTAAAAATATTTAGTAAATGTTCCAACAATAAGAAAATAGCATCATAGGCTTTCAAGTCTGGAGTCAATAGAAAATAAATTTTCCGGTCTGGTAGGCTGTGGTCCAGTTGGCATTGAAGGGCCCTTCAATGCCAACTGGACCACAGCCCACCAGCTTGGAAAATTTATCTTCTAATAACAAAATAATTTATAGACATAGACAATACATAAAGAAGAATCAATTAACACGCAAGATGGCAAGGTTAATATTAAAATTATTGCATTGTAATTATTTACCTCAGAATTATAAATTAATTTCTAACCTTTGAGCAACAGGGATCCATTAGGTCCACATGCACTACTTCCAATACCTAACACTTAGGCCTTAACACTAAGGTCCATATAAAATAAGATTGGTTGACAGCTGTGTGGAGGGGTTACAAGTTGATACGCAATTTATATTAACAACAAAACTAATATCATAGGCTATTTACAATACCCTATCATGGAACTTATTTTATTACAATTAACCTCACTCTCAACACTAGTAATGATGCTCAGGTGATGGATTGTGGCATTGAAGCCAAGCAATTCATTTTATGTGCAATTTGCTTATGTTATGGCACTTACATTATGTGCCCACAAACTATCAACCACCCTTGAATTTTATACATAGCATAACGCATGCATAGTATAATGTAATCCTTACTGCAATTCTGTTCATCTGATGAATCAAAACAGTCGGAATCAAAATCACATCTCCAGTAAGGTGGAATACATTTCCCATCCGAATGGCACTGAAACTGGTAAGGGGCACACGTGGTGCAATTGGCTTCATCTGAATTATCACCACAATCATCATCGCCGTCACATTTCCACAGTTTTGCGATGCACATTTGGTTTGCACACTGAAACTGCTCTGTGGAACATTTGTTGGAACCTGTTGGAAGAGCAGAGAAAATCAAAATCAAAACGACAGTTATTACCATCAACTTTTATTCATTACCAACTAGCTTTTTTAAGAGTAAATGTTACACAACCGAAATAAAATATACCAAATTTCTTAATTTATATTGTTAACAATGATAACAGACAGGACCTTTCACATTGTTATTTTTTTTCTGTCAATGCTAAAGAAAGTTCAATAACATAATCTTTTAAATGGTAAGTCTATTTTTTTTACATACAATGGTAATACACTTACTTCATCCTGTAGTATAGAATGTGAAATAATTTTATTTTTGAAGTAGTATAACTAATAAACAAACTTTAACACAATAGATATTTTATTATTTAATGTCATTCCATTTGTTTATAGAATTTATAACAAATTAATAAACACCCTGCCTTCTACGACAGCAATTTTCCCTGACATTACCCGCTTTGCCAGGTGTGAAAAATCCCACTCTCAAATTTATTTTCAGTTCTGCAGTGTCATTTCATCAACTTACTAGTTGTCTGGCAAGTGCCATTCTCGTTAGGCCTTATGTTTCCAGGGCAGAGACACTCTCCGTTACTGCTCTCCTCCATTCCATCGGGGCACAGGCATTTGAAACCTCCATTGGGCAATCCCATGCAGAGGTACTTGCACTTAGTTGTTGAGAAGTTGGCGCAGGCATTGGTTCCTTCTTGGACTGTGTGTGCGAAAACCTGTTGAACGAATTTCAAACATTAAGATGGATGGTAATAAAACCATTGATTTTAAAATTTTATAAAATATATTCCTAATCATCATTTCTTTTTTAGTTATATGTGCAATTAATATCACTTAATAATTTACATCTTACTTATCTTCTAAGAATAAATAAATAATCATTTAGTATCTTAAATTTCCAATCTGGACTAGCATAACACAAACAAAATTCAAACTTCCAGTGTGGATTTTTAAAATGTTGCCCTTTAGCCTTTTAAGTTTAAATCTTTCAAAATAATTGAAATTCGTTGCTGAAAATTTTTCAAACCACTTTCCCATAGTTGCCGTTATCCAGACATGAATACAATATGCAAAGCCATGCCTGCCTTTTAATGAAAGAAGGCATGCTATTGATTGGTTAGGATTGGAAAGTTTATAAACAACCAATAGTATCCATCCCAAATGTTTTCTCAAGCACATATAAAAACAGAAATTGAATCAAAATTGAAGTGCTCTTACCTGTCTATTAATGAAAATAAAGAAATGACATTGTTGTGCATCGCGTAATGAAAAACTAGGAATATAAAAATGGGTGTAACTCAATTTTAAAATTTACAGAGAAGTGACCCTCTTGTATTAGGGGTGCGAATTGACTGGCACCCATTGATTTAAAAATGATTTTATAATAAAATAATATGTAATCAATTATTTGATTTGACAATTGATTTAATCAACTGATCAACATTAAGTTGAAAATGATATATATCTAATAAAATACGTATTTTGCGAAAACCTGGGGGTAATAGATTTTTAAAAAGATCTCATAAGTGGAGCACAAATTTTTATATCAATTACCAGGTCTTAAAAGTTAAATTTTATTCTCCAAATAAAATTACTCCTAATGAACAACCTGCATTGGTATAAACATGAAATTTGCTACAAGCCCAATGATCTCTACAAACTTAAGAATTACATACAAGCATTGAAAATTAGCTTTAAAGAACTTGCACAACTCACCTTGAGATCCATGACTCCAACGAGGCCAACTTGCATGGTTCTGATGCCCATCCCATGGTCTTTGTTTGCCTGAAATACTGCGCTCTGTCGCCAGTCATCCCAATACACCCAATCTTTGAACACAGCTACAGCAAATGGATGGGCAACACGCTCCTGCAAATGGAACAACTCCTTCAACCCTCTATTGTTTGCAACAGTACCATGGTCATAATTAGTAACAATGTATCAGATTGTTATATTTTATATTGATTTACAAATTAACCAATCAATTAATTGTTTATTTATGCTTTTCCGAGTACTTTGTGAACTGAAAAATTAATTTGGTGAAGAAAACAATGTGTTTATTCATAACAAAAATGGATTTCAGAAGCAGATGAATCATGAGCAGACCTATTTATTTGAAGTACAAGTACACCTGGTCAGAAATGCCATGAGAAATCCTTACCCTTACTTGCTCTGGGTATGTAGAATAAATAATCGCTTTTGAATTTTGAAACAAAAAAACACGCAAGAAAAGTAAAATACTCCCAAAAAATTAGAAATTTTCTTTCAGAATAATATAAAGCAATGTGTTACGTGTACATTATGTATTTATAGTATAAGTTTAAATGTGCGATGCAAGAGAAAAGCTCATCCCACAACATTTCACATCAGAAACAATCTTAACTGTGAATTGCAATTCATTTCTCTATTTCTGTATATATGGTAATTGCTAATCACATGGTAGTTTTGTCTTCACATCGTATAGCACATTGTGACTGGCAATCCTGTCTACCTCTTTTATTTGGACCATATTGAGTTTCACTTTTATACCAATAATTCCTTTTTGTTTTATAAATCATTGATCCCTACTTTTTCTAGACAGTTTATCTATATCCCAGACACTTATTAGTTTATATGTTACTACTGAGTTTTACGAAACAAAAAATCTAAAAACAATTCACAATAAATTTTCCTTTCCCACTCCACAGACTATACCTACCCTATATTGACCCGTACTATACTTCTATATCTCTACCAACAATTCCTCCCTCACATAACAGGAAAAAAAAGCTTCATCTGAATCAAATTATACATAACATAATCAACTATGACACAGTACAGTCCAGAAAATAATTCATGACAACGAAATAAAGTGGGTAATAATTTTCTGTATTGCATACTCACTTCCTAACATTATAGTTTATAAAAAAAATACAAATTAAAACTAATTTTTTTCTATTTCTTTTATCTGTTCGTAGACTAAAGAAATTAAAAAAAAAATTAAAAACCTGTACAATATACCCGAGAATAATGACATAACATCATGAAAATGCTGTACAAAACAAAAATGAGTGAAATATAAGTAAAAAAATTTCTACTAAGTTTTGAAAATTTTACAAGGATAAACTGCCAAAAAAATAATAATAAATAAATAGAATAAAATTCCTTCCTTTTACACAGCAAAAAAACAAAAAAGAGCTCACATCACTGCTAATGATCTTCAGAAACTTCTTTCCATCCAAGTCTGATGAGGCGATGTAGTCCTCACGAGCATCCACCCAATATATCCGTTCTGCAATGTGATCTATAGTTATACCATTGGGCCATTGCACCACATTATTACCAAACAATCTCTTCACATTATTTCCAGTCAAGTCTGCTCTGTTAACAGAAGGGTCTCCTGGAGCCCAGTCTGTCCAAAACATGTATCTGCCAAAAAAACAAGCAGTTAATATTCATTTTTCTGTTTAGGGAGATAGTAAAAAAACCATGACTTCAAATCAGCAACTCTCTGATTGGATTCACCTACAGAACCGGTTTATATCTCCAATTGATTCCCAAGCACCACTTTTGGAATCAATTTTATTAAAAAATAAACAAAATAAATTCAAGAAAATTGTAATATTTATGAAAAGTAAACCCCCACTTAGAGTTTGTTAAATTTAAATCTTCTCTCAAAAAGGCTCCAAATGTTAAACAAATAAAATTGTGGATGTATGTCCATCCTTCTCCAGATTTCTCATGGAGAAATTAGTAGAATTCATTAACGATGCATGAATGTTCACAGATAAGAATTTTTTATATCTGATATCATACTACTACATTTCTTCAAATACTTATGTACTATACCTTTATTGATTGAAAAGATAATCGACCAAAAGAAAATTTGCACATTTACATAATGAGTGAAAATGAATATGAATTAAATTTTATTTATTATTATAATTGAAGTCTGTATTGCCATTTGTATAAGTTATGAGAAATCGTTCAATAGCCTATATCTTGTTTGATAAATAAATTTAGAGTAACAGTACATATAAATATTGAAAACATTGACTATTTGTACATCCTCCACATTGGAACAAAGTAAAATGGATTGGTCTTACCTACAACAAGTAACTGGTCATTATTTCACAACATAATTGATGAAACATTCCTTTTTATTTTTATTTTAGCACGGAGACATGTACAATCATTGTTACCATTTATCACATAATATAACTAGTAATGTAACAATACCACATTATTTTTCACTTTAAATGCTTCACTTCAATGCTTTCATAAAATTATAATAATATTACTTGAATCAGAAAAAGTGTTAACCTTCAAAATATTTTAATACTCTGGGATTTGAAATCAAGAACTTAGGTTTAGCAAGCAGTCAACATAACCACTATTCCATCCATCCACATTCCATCACTCAAGTCTGCAAAACAACCTTCCTCCCACTTTTAAAAGAGAGTTGATTGCTGATACATACACATGCATTTTTCACTCATGCAGCTTAAGATTACATTTGAGTACTTGACATGGCAAGGCAGTGTTAATCACAGTTCCTAATCGACTAGGCTAAAATTGTAAATATAACACACCCTTGAATTTTTGGAACAAGATATTAAGGAAAAAATCTCATCTTATAATTGGATAAATAGGGTAACTCATACGTAAATTCTTGCAGCCCTACAAATAATTTTGGCAAAATGAAATTTTTGTTTTATTGGGGTTTATATAATATTTCACTGTACGCATAATTTTGTTCGAAGATATCATTGTGGTTCAAGGTCCTTCAACATCCCACAAATATGCATTGTGAAGAAACTAACTTTAACTTTCCTTCTGAAAATAGGGACATATGAAATATTTCTTGCCCTTCAACAATCCAACTTTCTTCTGCCCAGGTTCAAGTTCACAAACTTGTGTATAAAATACTGCCGTGCTAATTGCTGCACTGTCAAGACTGTTGTTTTTCTCAATTAATAAATTTAACATAATATATTAAAATTATTCATTCGCTCACCCCTGCATTGGATGCACAACAATGCCGCGTGGCTTCTTTAGAGTAGGAGATGACAAGATGGTTCTTCGAGCCCGTCCTTCGTGATTGAGATCCGTGCGAATTACTTCTATCATCGCTCGCATTCCATCAACAAAATATAATTGATTGGACACCCAGTCAAAGGCCATTCCTTCAACACTGGATAGGTTACTTTGAACAAGAATCTCCCGCTCTCCAGACTCCAAACAGAGACGCTAAAAAAATAAATAAATAAATAAAATATATATAACAAATGGCAATTACCAAAACCTTACTTGAAATAGAATACTCAAAATGGAGATACTGGATTATTTGTGTGGCGTCTTTACCAAATGCATTCGAGTCCACTAAGAAACACAATTCTTAATGGCCATTACGCAGATTTTAAATTAATATCTATCAAACACACTTTTCAACTGTTATATACTCACAGCAATATTGTCATAGACAATGTCAGCCCAGTAAACACAATTATTTCGCATGTCAAATTCCACAGCAATAACATTGCGCAGATTGCGAATGGGCAGGGTCTCCATGGTTTGAGTAAGAAGATCAATGCGTGCAAGACGATCACGCTGTGCCACCAGCAAGAATTCTCTCTTCTCTCTATAAACAAAGGATTATAGGAATGTTTGTTAATATTTTAACAAATTTTCTGAAAATTGAAGATTGTCACAAAACTATTTGCTTTATTGTAGCTAGTCAAACAGGCAAACACAGTGAAACCTTGATAACAAACACTGATATCTTCAATTCCTTGATAACTTAAATTTTATTCCCTCATTTCATCTTTATAAACTATATTGTAATCTTTTTCAGAAAATGCTATAATCTTACTTAAACACTATTATTACAAACTCAACTTTTAAAAAAGCAAAAAGATTTTCTGGCAAATTAATAGACAATAATATATCCTCGGCAGGTGTTATTTCAAAACCTACTACGTTCTACCAGGTTCTTTAACCTTCGAGCACTTGCATTACTTTTGAGACACAATGATTCCTACGTTGTATTTCTTTTTTTTTAATTCCAGAATCTTTGGCATTATGCTTTTTAATAAATATTTTTTAAATATATTAACATTTATTTGAGTTTTTTTACATAACTTCAAATAACAATGAGAGAACATAAACAATGAAAAACATAAATGCCAGCTCATAAATGTAATAGGAGTTAAGTACCTGAATAAAATTCATTTTATTGTGATCTTTATGTTAAAAACACATTTACATTAGTTCAAAGGGTTAAATTACAACAAGGAAGGAAAAAATATTATTAGTCAACCCCCATTTACAATACCATTTTTATTTGATTTTCATAAAGCAGGAACAATTCCTAAAGAACTCAAGCCAAACAGTTGGACAATATAAGAAATCAAGAAATTAGAAGAAAAGCAAAAGTGAATTTCAACATTATTGGAACCATTGAAATTAAAAGGCTCAAAGGGTATGGTCTCTTAAACCGAACGGGTGAAGAACAATGGCCTCTAAAGGTCTGAAATTGGAAGCCAATGTCACACAGAAGACGAGGAAGATCCAGAAATACACGTAATTACACTTCTGCCGCTCAAATCCATAAATTCTCGGCTATCCGGGAGACGCCGCATCGTTGGCTGGGGTGCCGACGTTTCGCCTGACATGTCGCAGGCTTCCTCAGGGCAGTTACTTATCACAGGCTTCCTCGTCACTGCCCTGGAGGCCTACGACATGTCAGGCAAAACGTCGGCACTCCACCCAACGACACGACGTGTCCTGGATAGCCGAGAAATTATAGATCTAAAAATACATGGAACGTAGGAGTGGAGAAGGCGATGGCTAGAAGACGATTGCACTGACAGACCATAATGGAAATGGGGACATGAGAGACGCCTAATGGATTTTAATTACTCACAGTACTACTACAACTACCACTATTACTACTTACTTCATGGGGCAAGGCAGGACATCGGGCAGAAACAATGTCTCATTGCCTCCTACACATGGATCATCCATTAGTTTTCGGTATCCTTTGGTGCGGTTGAAAAACTTGCCTGGTTGGCACCATTTGGGTGGCTGGTAGGGACTACCTGGTGAGATAACTGTGTCTCCATAACCACGAATACAATGACCTTGACCTGGATGTCTGAAGAAGCCTAGATCGCTGGAAGGAACAAAGGACATAAATTAAGTGTCAAAAATCAGAATTGATAACACCAGTTATGTCAAATTTGTGGGCTCCATTATGCAAACTTCTCATTTAAGACACATACTCTCTGAAATGTAAGCCCAATAATAAAAGGAATCCTTTCTATTATATTTAAAATTAAGTTATAAACAATAACAATTCCCCTATGGGAAAAAATTTTTACCTCGCCAACCACATATTTTTTTTCCTTTTATCTTTTCATGGCTGAAGCTATTTACCCAATATTGAGAATTTTGAACACTGAACACTAATCGACAACCTCTCAGGATTTGAGGCCAGAAAACATTTCAACAACTATGACTGATACACAACAGACAATTCCTGAACAAACAGACAAGGAAACACCCATGCCTAGGGAGAAATTCAAACAAATGATCTCTTCCTGGTTGCCATACATCCTGAAAAAGCAGGATACATTCTGAATATCAACATGTATTCCACTGCTCACCAGGTTTTTCTTTGTTTCAGCCAAATGTTTTGAATTTTTATACTCGGTTATAATTTACACAGTCCTATAAAACCAGAGTTTTAGGGCTAATTAAGAATACATCACAGAACTACACACTGCATAAGAGAATGCAAGCGGCTAATTACTTTGATAAGCAAATATGGGTATTTTTGTCTTTTTACGGTACAATTAGGCAAAATAGATAAAGAAAGGAGCTTTGTTTTGAATGAAGGTGCAACTGTCTCTCACAATGTGTAAGTGCAAGAGAATCTCGAATGCAAAAGCGAAAAAGGCTGACTGAATAAGTGTTTTAATATCGACCAAAGTTATGCTTTATTTAATAATGCATTTAAATATCCTGAAATATTTCGCAAAGTTGGTCATGGAAAAATTAGGAAATGGCCTGGACAACTTGGAAAAAATTAAACAAATTTGTCCTAGAAAAAGTGTTGTCATCCTGTTATTCTTGAAAGTGTGCAATAGTACTTAGTTGTTTATTTGTTATACAATTTACTTGATATACTATTTAGTTCAATGAGAATAAGCAATTTGCTATTATTCTATTACTATCCCTATGGCATCCTAGGATCTATTGCACTGAGGCTTTGAGTCAAAGGAGCACTTGAACCACTACTCAAGCAAGCACATTCTTTTTTTCTATAATATAAAACTTCAATACATGTTTCCCAACTATGAAATACTCACCACTCAAAATCTTCAGCATAACACTCGCACACTTCCATCTTCACTGGTCGGACGTAGTCCTTACCATTGTAACAATTTATTGTTGGAATCCTCCTTTCATAAACTTCCTTGCGCCCCAATATGCAGGGCATGTTTCTGCCCCTCTCCCTTGCAGGTGAAGTGGGAGACCAAGGTTTGTAGTCATCAGGAGTGCAATTGCGCTCTACAAGACAAGAGCAAACAATTGCCTTAATCATTAAAATCTATTAAACCCAACCATTAGAAATTTCAGAGCACATGGTAGCTACAGAAATGACACCTGCCATCATATCAATTGATACCTAAGATTGTTCTACTCACTTTGAAGTAATCCATGCCTCGAAAATTATTGAAAGAGTCATTAACAAGCAAATACGAACAGTTGAGTCAATAAATTATTCCATATAAATACATATATATGGCAGGATTGAAATCAGGTTTGAAATGATGTATACTTAAAAGAAAAATGTTTATTTTAAAAATAGTTGATGAACAGAAGACAAAAACGGTAAGCTCATAAAAACAATGATAGGCAAACAATCAAAAAAGATATTAAAGATGCTCTCGATGAAAGAAAAACAAAGTCACATAGAAACAAAAAGAATATGACCTTGAATGTAATTACATACTACCATCTATCTTTTTACAGTCTTTGGGGGTTATTGTTACATCAACACTTAAAAAGTTTTGTGATGTTAAGTGTTTGAGTTTCTTCCTGGCTTGGCGAGGCAACGTAAAACATAAACCCTAATCAACTATGCTTGATCTGCAATTATAAGACGACCCCATACTTTTGACTGACATTATGAAAAAACCTCATCTTATATTCAGGTAATTATGGTATTCAAATATTTAAAATGTACATAGAGAAATATTAGGACGATTCACAGTGTATGAGCTGAACTATGCTATATCGTGCACTTCTGGCTGATGTTTTTTGGATCAATTGCAACAGCAGCCATTCACAGCATGTGAACAGCCAGGCCACATGTAGCTTAGGATATAACAGAAGGAGGTTCTCAAATATCTAAATAATTTTAGCAATGGCAACAATTATACAACTCAAACAGAACTAGTACTGTATCCAAATAGTCACTCTGTACTTAAATATATATTAACTCACCAAATATGGAACGTAGGTCCACCTTCACAATCAGCCACTGATGCAGCCCTTGTTCAGAACCAAACAGTGTGAAAACAGTAGTGTTCTCCCCTGGCTCTGTCATAAGGCCATACATCCTGAGCTCTTCCTTTGATATAAAGAGAGAATCCCAAGTTTTGCCTTCATCTTTCGAATACAGGAGGGATCTTGTCTCCCCGTGGGCTTTATAGTACCTCAATGCAACCAGCACACCTCCGTGATCTCCCATGTTGAAGAAGTAATAATCTAGAAGAACCTGGACAAGAAAAACAGATTACTTGGGAATAAATAAAGAAAAGAAAAACATGCAGAAGAAACAAAAGAAAAACAAAATAGCAACTGTGCAAGAAAATTTGTAAATTTGGTTTTAATTGTTTTATTGCTAGAAACCGTCATAGGATACATGAATTCAAACTATTAACTTGCCATTAAGAGTTTCTTTCGTATAAAAACAAAAAGTGTATGAAAATTAGATTAAATAAACCAACTAACTATGACTCAACGCATCAGAATCCTTACAAAATATTTCATTGTTGCATCTACAAAATGACCATGTGAAGTGAATTTAATAATGGAAAATGAACCTAAAGGAACCAGCACATTTCACTGAAATTTTGGAAACTTACACATTCCTTTAGGTTCATTTCCTCTTACTACATTCATTTCATATGGCCGTTTTTCCAGGATCAATGAGGATTTGATCTCACTACATCTTTCCACAGTTTGAAAGCAATGCACAAAATAAATAAACTCATGTAATATGCAGATGTGGTTTATCAGTGTTAGATGTGGATGAAGATGCAATTTAGTATGAAATAAAATACTGATTTTAGAGAGGGTCTGATGCAGGGCCTTTGAACTCTCTCAAAACTGAGGACAAAGCTTGAGGGTGTTACTCTAGGAGGTGTTAGTTTCACCAGGTACAGCTGCAGGTTAGGATCGCCAACTTCCGCACATAAAAATCAGCTAATTTGTGAAAAAATAGCAAATAGTATTTTAAATGTTCAATTATACAAAATATAGACATATAAGAAATCTCTGAAGAAAGCGTGACCATCGGCACTATCTTTTGTAACATTACGGGCCTGCTTGAGAACAGTGAACTCGCGCTTAAGTATCGGCATCAGTTCGTGTTTTAGTTCTTGTAAGAAGGTGCTGCAGCAGAACGTGCCACCATAATTGTTTCCAATAAATTATATAAGAGTTAAAAGGCCCTGGTCTGATGTGTAATTGCAGATTAGCCAATTGAAGATTACCAACCTGCCTCCAAGAAAGGCCAGCATCAGTGCTGAGAAAGAGCCCCGGCCGACCCTTGAGTGATGTGCCCATGACACCCGTCGCCATAATAATGCCCGGTGCAGACTTTGACGAGAGAACAGGTGGTGCTCGGGTCACAGGGTACAGTTGGGCAAATTTCTGGGAGAGATGCAGCGAACATCCTGCCGACTGTAAGCAGAGAGAATGAATTTTTATACAAAAATTACTTAGAATAGATTACTTACCAACAGACACTAACAACATACTAAAACCACTTAGGTAATAACCTGAGACTACTCTCAGCAAGATTATCGCACCCACACACGCGAGCGCGCACCCGCGCGTCCTCGTGTCCCGCAGTCCGCACCCATACACGCGCGCGCACCCACACACGCGGCGCGGAAGCACCCACATACACGCACGTGCGCACCCATACACACGCATGCGCGCCCACACACGTACGCGCACCCACACCCGCACGCGCACGCACCCACACGCGCGCACCCATACACACGCACGCTCACTCACACATTCGCGCGCGCGGACGCATCCACACGCCCGCACGCGCGCAACCACACACGCGCGTGCACCCATACACGCGCGCGCGCGCACCCACACACACATCTACATATGCGCGTGCGCACCCACACACACGCGTACACCCACACGCGCGCACCCACACGCACGCGCGCTTCTACACACGCGCCGGCGCGCAACCACTCATGCACGCGCGCGCAACTACAAGCACGCGCGCGCATTCACACAAGCGCGCGCACCCAATACACACGCGCGCGCACCTACACACCCGCGTGCGCGCACACCTACACACACGCGCGCGCGCGCACCGGTACACGCACGCGCGCACTGATACACACGCGCGCACTGATACGCACACCAAAATTTGATATTACTAACAGTTGTCCATGACACAGTGTACATCTATCGGTGGGGTTTAATAGAATTGATTCAAATGAAATTTTTTCGGTCACAAAAAGTTTGCAGCAGGTTCCCAACAGTTCATTCCATGGTCTCTACCTTTCATTCCACCATTCTCAATCTTTATCTATTACCCTCATCCCCATCATTCCAAAATTATAACCATCTCCTCTCCAGAATATGTAAGGACTCTCCTGTGTGATGTCCTTTGTGATGATGGGCCTGATGTGACAAACTCAAAGGTAAGAAAGATACAGGTGAGGAAGAGCAAGACTGGAAGAAAAGGAAGAAAGTTCGTAATGTGGGAATATATAATTGAATGTAATGGAGAGAGTTGTAATGGAGAAAATGAGATGTAATAAAAAGAGTTAGGCGTCATAAGATTTAATTACAAAAAAAGAGGCTGAATCACAAGATCAGAGAGTAAAGAGCTTTTGGAGAGTGTATTGTAAAATGACTTAAAGAAACAATGTGACCAGCATCATGTGATGGGTTAAAGATATTTTTGTAAAGGGTTTCGTTCTAATAACTACAATAAATGGAAGAAGCTCAGAGTTTGCAGCACACTTTGCATCCACTGTTGTGAGAGACCCTTTTATAGTACATGATAGGAGTCAAATCGTTCCACATGACAATTCTGGTGTAGTATCCTTTTCCGTTATGACTCTTAATATAACAATGAAGTCAGTGCATGAACAAAAGTTAAAAAGTGAATTCACATCATGTACAATACAGAGCTTCAAGCTGAGCAAAAACTCGTGATTCTCTCCATGTGCTTACAACCTACCATCACGTTAGATACCCCCACTACATCCGCCACACTGCTGACTTTTTATCGTAATTGGCCCCCTGACGTCCGATAATTCTGTTTCCAGAAACGACGCTCTCTTGAAGGTCCTCTGCGATAAGAATGATATCCAGAAGAGCCTGCCTAAATTCATTCCTTAAATAATAAAAAAAAAAAAAAAAAGAAAACGAAAATACCTTTTCGGAGTACAGACAGAAGAACTTCTCACCAATGTAATAAAGAACATATATAATCATTATTAATTATCAGCAATGAGAAAATAAACAAGCTCTGTTGGCAAAATATCCCAAACCCTATCTTGTAATTGTGCATATTCTCGATGCAAGTTCATTTTGCTGTACTTTTTTACAGTGTTAACTGTGAGAAATCAGGTAATATAAGTTGAATAAAAGATGTGTTTGTAATAGCTTTTTTTATAATCGTTCCATTTAATTCTGACCATCGAAATCGCATTGTGTTACATTTTAAAACGTCAAGTCATTAGTGGGTGTCTTAAGTAACTCTTTACATAGAAAAGGAGTAAAATTCTCACTGCAGTCAACTAGTACAGTAGTTGTTACTAACTACCCATTTTGAACATGACAGATCCAAAATGCTGTCAAAAACTCTTTTCTCCCTAAAAAATTCCAGCTCACACTCGTTGCACGGCCTCTATTGTAGCAAACATATACAATCTCCCTCACTTGAAAGTCCGCAACACTCGCAGCGAATACTACTTTACCTCATATGGTGTCCGATCCTTGAAACAGCGAGTCAGAGCATGGCGGCTCACTGGACCGAAGGCCTCCAGTTGGTTCTCAATATCGTAATGTTCAAGCATACAAGAGTCATGGTGGCCAAATTCAACGGTTGAACTTCTT